TACTCCTACGACTGCTCTCACTACTCCCCCTACTACTACTTCCACTACCACTCCGACTACTCCTCCTACGAATACCCCCAGCACTACTCCTACTCCACCTCCTACTACTCTTACTACTACTACTACTGCTACTGCTGCTACTACTACTACTACTACTACTACTACTACTTCTGCGTAGTGCTGTTGTGTATGGTTCCATTAAATGTGTTTCGTAATGCTTTTACGTAGTGTGTTTACGTAGTGGCGATGTTAATGCTGAAACTGCTATGTCAGCATAAACAATAGGAATTTTCACATTGAGCGTAACAATTTAGGAATTCAGTTTCAACGGGATGGAGACCTCTGTGTGGTTTCAGCCTCACGAACTTGTTTCTGAACTAACAGCTGTATAAAACGTGTGAAAAAAAAGAGATGGGGAATTGCAGCAAGAAGCGAAGCCTCTGTGAGCCTAGGTATCTGCTCCACTCTTAGTGGGGAGGTAGACGATTTAGAGCGCAACCTACACATTATACAGGTGTCCTTGTGCCCTGAAGGTCAGGGCATCTCCTTTAGAGTCTCAGCGAGACATTGCAGCAGAAGTGTTCCAGATCTTGATCTGGAGTTTCCCTGTTTGTTCTCAGCAAGCTGCCTTCCAGGATGCTGAGGAGGTTCCGTTCATACTGTCTCGTGCGAGCGGACCTTGCAGCTCGCGACAAAAAAACGCATAGCATCCACTATATCATTGACACTCGGGGACCCCTTGGGGCCCCCATTTGGGCCCCCCCGACGCGCCCACTGAGAGCCTCTTTGGGACATCTGTGCTTTGTTTGCCCGGAAAGCTGCGCAAGGCGCCCTCGGAAGCCTGCGAGGCTCGCGCTCGGAAGGCTGTGCGGCCGGGCCCTGGGCCGAAGCTGCCGCGGCCACGCCGAGACACTGCACGGAACGGCACTCCCAAGGGCTCGGGCTGGCGATCGGGGACCCCTCGGGGCCGTCCTCCTTCGAAGCTCCGAGGCCCCCCCGAGCCCTCAGGGCCTCTCGAGGACTCTTCGGACCCGAGATGGCCCCAGGGAGGCCGCTTCGGCCTCAAGACGGCCCAAGGTGTGACCAGAAATTTGCTGTAAAACTTTCGGGCACGACACCCTCAAGAGGGCCGAGGGCCCTCGAGATCCCTCGGACCCACCCGAGGCCCCTCGGTCGCCACCATCGTCGACTTCATCCGTTTCGTCCGTGTCCGCGTCGTCTCCCGTGTCTTCCCAGAACTTGTGCTTAGCCGAACCGGAGCGGGCCGGAGCTACAAGAAATCAATGAAGTCGGCTGGCACATCGAATCGGCCCGGTGGAGACGGAAAGCGCCCTGAAGAGGCCCCCAAGAGGACTCCAAGAGAGCCAGAGGGCCCCAAGAGGGCCGCGAGAGAGCTCCTCCTCCTCCTCCTCCTCCTCCTCCTCCTCCTCCTCCTCCTCCTCCTCCTCCTCGTCTTCATGTTCTTCCTCCTCGCCCTCCTCTTCCTCCTCCTATTCCTGCTCGTCCTCCTCCGCATCCTTCTTCAACATCCGTCTCGTCCTCCTCCTCGTCCTCCTCATCGTTCTCGTCGTCCTGGATCAAGGCAACTCGCCTGGGCATCTGTTCTGAATGGGTTGGTGGGGGTAACCGAAGCGTGAAGAATCACCATGCTGGATGGCGCACCATCACATGACCCGCAAACATCCCTTGGCATTCGCGCCCCTCCCGAGCAGCACCCACGGGCAAACCTGAATGTCGCGCCCACGACTGAGGCAGTCTATGCCGAGACGATACGAAATACCAAACACCGGATGCCATGCCAAGCCTCCGTTTGCAGGACATCACAAGTATGCGAATCAAATTCCCACGTCTGCGCCTGACACCCGATTCCTTGAAGTCGTGACTTATCATGCCCCTCCGTGCTGCCGAGCTCTAGTGATAACAGCTCAATAGGCTTGCCCCAAGTAGGAATGGAATAGCAACTTGCGCTGCAATGGAAAGCTCTCAGTTATGACTGCAAGCGGCGAGGCAAATAGAATCGCAAGCGAATTAAGAAAGCAAGGAAATCTGATTGCAGGTACGCAAGCGAATGCGCACATGATCAACACGCAGGCCAGGAATAAATCAATCCCGCACGAATGAGAGCGAGCAAGCAAGCAGCCAATCAAGCAAACAAGCGCGCACGCAAGCAAACACCTGAGCATGCAAACGCAAAACAACGGGTGATGCTCAGATTAGGTGTATGGTTTTGATTTGGAATCGGAGCTCGACGTGAAACCACCATGCGCACCGAACAAAATGGTGACCTGGGGAAACTGAATTGAACCGACTCTCTAAGAGCGAACGCGACCTCTAATCGGCACGCTATCACGGTCGCCCTCCCTCCTGCAGCATCGTGGGCAAAGAGGGGGAGGCCTGGGCAACTGGAGGAGGACGGCAGGGGGCAACGTGCGGGGGGACGAGACACAGAGACACAGACACGGCTTAGAAGGCCGGGCTGCGTGTTGGCCGCCCAGCGCACCAGCGTCTGGGACGGCAGCAGCCAGCCCAGGAGCACCGCCCACTTTGCCGCCACCACCTCCTGCGCAGGCCAGGGGAGCAGGTGCTGCTGGGGAGGCAAGAGTTGGGCGTGGCTTAATGGGGGGGTCACAAATGGGGGGGTCAGAAAAGGTCCCCTTTCGTGCCCCTTTCGGGCCCCTCCAGAGCCCCATGGGGGCTCGTTTAGGTACCGTTTGGGTACCTTTTCGAACCACCCTCGCCACCCCCCCCCATTTATGACCCCCCATTACGCAGCGCCCAAAAGAGGCCAGGGGAGCACGGCTCCGGCTGCACGCGGCAGGCTGCAGAAGGGCGACGCACGAGGGGGGCGAAGGAGGGCGCCCCCCTCCGGCAGCGGATCCGTCGAGGCGCGATATGCTCACCGCACAGCTCTGGTGGCAGGTCTGCCGCGCGGCGGTCTGGGGCGCCCTGCCCCCCCCGCCCCCCCCCCCCTGCCTGCCCCAGGAAGGCGCGGGGGGGAGGAGAGAGAGAGAGGGGGGTGACGCGAGGGGGGGGGGGGGGACCTCGGCGATCTGCCCTGCGTAGGCTGCTGCCTGCACCGACCGCCCGCCCACGTGCGGCAAGAGGACTGCGCCGAGGCGGCGCGCGCGCGCGAGCCCCTGGCCCGGAGGCTGGCGCGTGCTCGGGACCGCGGCCCCGCGAAGGCCAGAAGGCAACGGCACACATCGGCCCGACGGACAGGGAGGCCCGAATCGGGACCAGCTCCGAGGGAAGCCGAATGGCACGGCGTCGCCCGCAGATCTGAAGGGTGAAAACATCTGCATAAACGTGAGCTGTCGACAGTCCGCGCGGAGTTCTTGGATCCGAACTGGTATCGTTTATCCGATCCCCATCCTCAGCGGCGTGGCCTGGGCCACACTGGCCGAGTTGCCTCCCCCCCAGATGGGATATAGGTCGTTCCCTTCGGGTTTGGAGGGGTGCATCCCCAACTGGGGTGGTAATTTGGTGGGGGTCTCGAAGGGGATGGGGATGGGGATGGGGATGGGGATGGGTATCGAATAAACGATACTGAACCACCCCTCCCTGACGCGCGGAAGAGGAGGAGGAGAAGCAGGAGAAGGAGGCGGAGCACGCAAGGTGCGGCGCCGGAGGCGCCGCCAGGGGGCCCCCACGAGACCCAGACGTGCCGCCCCGCACGAGAGGGGAAGAGCGGCGACTGCGCCCAGGGCGGCCCATCAATCAAGCAGTGGCGAAGCGTCCCGGCGTGCCTATAGGCCTGCCAAGCAATGTTCCAAGAGCCGTTTGTGGATTCCACGAGGTGTTCTTAGAACATTTCTGGCTGGGACTCTTGTTTTCACACATCGGGGTTATGTTCTAAGAACATCGTTTTCGTTATTGGAACATGTTCGGTTCTGAGAGCCATTCGCGGTAGGCCTATAGAAGTGCTGGGACGGTCGGTCTCTGCTCTAATCAAGGTCGGACCTTGAGACCAGAAGCGTCCAGGTTGGCCGGAGAACACCCGGGGGACCGCCGCGAGGCAGTTTCCACTGCAAGAAGCCAGGCGAATCTCAGTGGGTGGATCATCCCTCGTTCCCTCTCAAGGGGTTCTAGAGCAGACGATCCTCTGGACCGGCTCATGTGGACTTCAGCCTGCCCACAAGCCCCCTTCCTTCGTCTGCTGACACAGCGCAAGCAGAGATGGTCCTCCATCCACTTGCAGATGGGCATGAGCAGGATGCCCTTCAGGGTGCGATGCAGGGAAGGGAACGTGGAAAACAAATCGTAGAGGCCTCGCAGCCGGGGGGGATGGCAATGGAGAGGTGACGAGGAGGAGGAGGCCGACTGACCGACTGAGCTCGCGAGATCCGATGTGAAATAGAGCCCTTCGAACGTTATACACAACTTCCACGCGAAAGGTGATGTTTAACATCGAATGTAACGCCTGGAAGCTGGGCGGATCTGGAGACGTGTACTCTCGAGGCCATCAGAACGCCAGGCCTGCACAATGGTGGCGCCTCTGGCCCACCCAGGCCCGATGTAACTTGGATAGGCCGGAGCGGCCCAGGAAGGAAGGAGGAGGAGGAGAAAGAGGAGGAGGAGGAGGAGGAGGAGGAGGAGGAGGAGGAGGAGGGGCAGGCGGAGGACCCCCCGAGCGCTCCCTGACGTCGCTCCTCCCCGACTTCTCCTCTCCCCGTCAATCCCACCATCGAACGCTGCACAGACCTCCAGCCTGCGCCGCGGATATGTGCCGTGCTCTTCGCCGGGATCCAGGCCATCCCGGCGGGCCTGCCGACATGCCGACATGCGGTCGTGTTTCCGAGCACGCCTGCGCCGAACACTTGCCACTCCCTTGCTTATACGGTTGGGCTCTCTTGCGGACTTCTCGGAGCTGCCTGGGGGACCTGGTTGTCGTGTTCGTGATCGTACCCGTGGCCCTCGTAACTACTCGTGGTCGTACCCGTCGTCGTGCTCCGTCTGCACGCTCCTCGTCGTTCTCATCGTCGCGCCCTTACATCGGCATGGCCCAGACGAGGGTGCAATGCGCCATGATGTGGTGGCTATTCGTCGCCCTGCCTGTCCATCGGCGTCGAAGCCCGAGCGTTGTCTGATTTGACCTGCTCGTTCGTCGTGCCTTCCTGCCGTCTTGAAGCGTTTTGGGGGCTTTGGGGGACCTCGTGGGGGATTCTTGGAGACTTGGAGCCTCCAACGACAGTCCGATGTCTCCCTCTTGGGCCCTTCTTGGGGCCCTGTTGGGAGCTTCTGGGGCCCTCTTCGGGATCTATTGGGCCGACTTGGGGCGCTCTTTTTCCGTCGGGCGCTGGAGGGGGGATGGGTGTATTACGGAAACGTTGGCATGCTTAACAGTCCCAGTACAAATCGAATGTCGTTGCCTCTGGAGGCCCTCTTGGGGCGTCTTGGGGGCCTCCTAGCACGTCTTGAAGCCATCTTGGACATTATTCGGGCCATCGTTGGCCACCTCGAAGCAATCTTGAACCGTGTTGAGGGCACCTGGGACCCTTGAGAGGCCCAAACCACCAAAATCATATCTCTTCTGGAGTCCCCAGGAATTCCAGCCCGGGGAACCAGAAAAACTCTTGGAGGCCCCGGGCATTCCTGGGCAGGAGGAGGAGGAGGAGGGAGGAGGAGGAGGAGGAGGAGGAGGAGGAGGAGGAGGAGGAGGAGGAGGAGGAGGAGGAGGAGGAGGAGGAGGAGGAGGAGGAGGGGGAGAAGGATGAGGAGGAGGGAGGAGGAGGGGGAAAAAAAACATCCTCCCACCACAGCAGAGCCACACCCAACCCCTCTATGTATCAGGAGCTCCGCCTCCAGCCCCTGAAACATCAAGGACTTGTTTCCGATTCTTGCCATTGTGGGCTGGGCCCCTGTGCTGCCTGGCAGAACTCACACGCTGGATCGGCAGATTTCCGGAAGTATGCAGTTGTCGACTCCTTTCTCCCCACATCGGCCACGGGGGCGCGCGAAGGCCCCCGGACCGCCTCTCGGGGCCTCACCCCGCACACACAATCGGAGCAAGGCGAGCTGAAAAATCGGTCCCCGGACCCCTCCCCGTAACCAAACGCACCAATCATCCGAGCTGCGTCCAGCCGTGGCGGGGGACCCGCGAAGGCCAACTGCCGTTGTCTCAACCCGTCCTCCTCTGACACAAGCAATCGAATCGACTACGTACTTGGCCTCGCCCCGCACACGGGGTCACGGGCTGAGGGAGCACCCGGATCGGTCTGCGAGGCATCTGCGGCAACCCGCGGTGGCCACAGGGAGCACCGGCAGCCGGGGTGGGGACACCCGTGCTCGGGCCTCCACCCTCCACGACCCTCGAAACAGCAGCAACGGATCCGCGTCCGCTTCCAAGACGGCCCTGGCAGGCAACCAGAGCCCCCAAGACGGCCTGGGCCCAGGGGTGCCTCGAAGACGGCCCAAGATGGCCTCAAGACGGCACAAGATGCCTCCGAGCAGGCCGCACGCCAGAGCCACGAGACAGGCCACGGGGGCAAACGGGCTGGCCCGTCGGCGTCGCAGCGACGCAGGACCCAGACCCCGACGTCATGATCTTTTCATAACGTCGACCCTGGAGGTCTCGACCCATTCCCCGGAAGCGGTGCTTCATCCTGAGGCGTTTCTTGACGGTCCCGAGGCCCGGTAAGAGCCCCCAGACGCTGAAAATCGGGCAAAGCCCTCCGCCTTGATTTTTTCGCAGCGCGAGGGGGTCTGGGGAGGGCACGGAGAGGCCGCGAGGGACCACAGGCCAGCATTCGGCTCGTGAGCCTCGCCTGCCCACGCACGAAGGACTCCCACGAGCGGCCGCAAATGACCACGGAGAGCCACCGGGTCGACCCGTGGGCCTCGTGCCCCGCACGCCGGGACCACGAGGGGCCACGCGCTCACAGGAGAGCAGCATGCTCGTCCAGTCCTGAACTCCTCCTCCTCCTCCCTCCTCCTCCTCCCTCCTCCTCCTCCTCCTCCTCCTCCTCCTCCTCCTCCTCCTCCTCCTCCTCCTCCTCCTCCTCCTCCTCCTCCTCCTCCTCCTCCTCCTCCTCCTCCTCCTCCTCCTCCTCCTCCTCCTCCTCCTCCTCCTCCTCCTCCTCCTCCTCCTCCTCCTCCCAGCAGGCCCAGAGGGATCCTAGAGATATCATCCATCTCAGCGTGGGGCATTACGTCTCGGGATAGCCCCCCACCAGCGAGTAAACGAGTGTTGCACAAAAAGAACATGTACGAAACGCGCCGATGTTGTCTAAGGGGTCGCCATGCAGGTGGTAGGTGGGAGACGGGTGGGCGGTGGATGGGTCGGTGGAAGCGGCGGTGTGCGTGGCGGATCGGAGACGCGTGGGTGGCTTGTGGGTGGTGGGTGGGAGGGTATGGTGGCAGATGATTGGTGGGTGGGTTCGTGGTGGGTTGGTGTGATTTTGATGGGCGGTGGGCGGGTGGTGGAAAGCAGATGGGTAGCATGTGGTGGAGGGTGGGTGGGTACTGGGTGCTTCGCAGATGGGCGGCAGGTCGGTCTGTGATGCGTGAGTGATGGGGGTGAGGTGGCTGGTGGACGGGTGATTGGTATGTGTGTGGGGTGGGGGGGAGTCGGTGGGGCAGTCGTCCGTCTATGGGTTTCCCGTAGTATCGAATTATGGGAAACCCATCGGTCGCCAGAAACCCCTAGCAAATCTGGCGACCTATGGGTGTCCCCCATAATTCGGAATTGCGGAGAAACCCGTAGAAACGCGTCTGCCCCTGGGGCGACTCGGCGCCAGGATTCCGAATTATGGGAAGTCCATAAATCGCCAGAATCCCTTACGGAATCTGGCGACCGATGGGTTTCCCAGACTTGGCCGCGGCGAGCGGGGTCCAGATTCCGAATTATGAGAAACCCATAGGTCGCCAGAAACCCTTGGGGAATGTGGCGACCGATGGGCTTCCCATAGTTCGGAACCTGGACCCCGCTCGCCGCCGCGGATTATGAGAAACCCATAGGTCGCGAGATTGAGAGTCTGGCGACCTTTGTGTCTCCCATACTTCGGGCAACCTTTGGGTTTCCCATAATTCGCGGCGGCGAGCGGGGTCCAGATTCCAGATTATGGGGAACCCAAAGGTCGCCAGAAAACCTTCGGGAACCTGGCGACCAATGGGTTTCCCATATGTCAGCCCTGGACCCCGCTCGCCTCCGCGAGTTAGGGGAAACCCATCGGTCGCCAGAAACCATAAGGAATCTGGCGACGACCTATGGGTTCCCCATCATTCGACACCTGGACCCCGCTCGCCGCCGCGAATTATGGGAAACTTATAAGTCGCCAGAAACCGTGGGGAATCTGGCGACCGATGGGTCTCCCATAGAACCTAAACCCCGCTCACTGCCGCGAATGATGGAAAACTCATAAGTCGCAAGATTCCGTGAGGGTTTCTGGCGACCGATGGGCTCTCACAAATGAGAATCTGGGCCCCGTCGCCAGAACCTATTCGGGAATCTGGCGACCTATCCCAGAATTCAGAACCTGGACCCCGCTCGCCGCCGCCAACTTTGGGAAACCCATAAGTCGCCAGAAACCCCTAGGGAATCTGGCGACCTATAGGTTTCCCATCATTCGCGGTGGCGAGCGGGGTCCAGGTTCCGAATTGTGGGGAACCCATAGGTCGCCAGACCCCGTTGCTCCCCTCCCGCCCCCCCTCCCCACACCCCTCTGCCCTGTGGTCCCTGTCTGCTCACCCCGACCGACCAACCGTGCCCCCCCCTTGCCCGACCGTGCCTTCCCGTCCCCCTGCTCCCCTTTCCCCCCGTGGCCTCCCGTCTACTCATTCCGACCGACAGGCCGTGCCCCCCCCACCCCCTCCGGCCGGTGGCCCCCCGTCTGCTCATTCCGACCGACCGGCTGTGCTCTCCCTCCCCCCCCCCTTAGCCCAACCGTGCTGGGTTGTGTGTTGGGCGTGCGGGGGTGCCCGGGCCACGGTGAGTCCTGGGTGTGTGTGTGTTGCTACCGCTGGGATGCGTGCTGGGCACTGCGCCGGGATGTGTGCTGGGTGTGCTGGGATGGGTCGACCGGCCGTCCCCCCCCCCGTCCACCCCCCCGCGCCCTCCCTGACCGACCGACCGTGCGCTCCCCCGCCCCCTTTCGCCCCGTGGCCCCCCGTCTGCTTATTCCGATCGACCGGCCGTGCCCCCCTCCCCCCCCCCCACCTGGCTTGAGCGTGCCCTCCCGTCCCCCTGCCCCTCTTCCCCCGCAGCCCCCCGTCTTCTTATTCCGATCGACCGACCGTGCCCCCTTTCCTCTTTCGCCCCGTGGCACCCGTCTGCTTATTGTGACTGACCGACAGGGCCCCCACCTCCCCCGGCCCGACCATGCTCCTTGTCCCCCTCCCGCCCCGACCGCATCCATCTCCCATTGTTCCGCATCCGTGTTTGTATGATCCTTGGCACGCGGGCCTCTTGACCCCGCTCGCCGCCGCGAATTTGAGGAGACCCATGGGTCGCAAGAAACCTTTGAGGAATCTGGCGACCTATGCGTTCCCCACAATTCGGAGCCTGGACCCCGCCCGCCTCCGCGAGTTATGGGAAACCCATAGGTCGCCAGAACCCCCTAGGGGTTTCTGGCGACCTATGGGTTTCCCAGATTTCGGAACCTGGAACCCGCTCGCCGCCGCGAATCATGGGAAATCCATCGGCCACCAGAAACTACTAGGGAATCTGGCGACCTATGGGCTTCCCATAATTCGGAACCTGGACACCGCTCGCCGCCGCGAAGAATGGGAAACACATAGGTCGCCAGATTCTTTAAAGAGTTTCTGGCGACCTATGGGTTCCCCACAATTCGGAACCTGGACCCCGCTCGCCACCGTGAATTCCCTAGGGTTCTGGCGATTTATGGGTTTCCCAAAGTTGGCGGCGGCGAGCGGGGTCCAGATTCAGAATTATGGGAAACCCATAGGGCATCTGGCGACCTATGGGCTTCTCATAATTCTCGGCGGCGAGCGAGGTCCAGGTTCCGAACTATGGGAAACCACTAGGTCGCCAGGATCGCCAGATGTATTGTTTCTTGCGAGCGATGTATTTCCCATAATTCGCGGCGGCGAGCGGGATCCAGTTTTCGAATGATGGGAGACACAAAGGTCGCCAGATTCTCTTTGGTTTCTGGCGACCGATGGGTTTCCCACAATTCGGAATCTGGTCGCCGCTGCCAACTGTGGGAAACCCATCGGTCGCCAGATTCCTTAAGGGTTTCCGGCGACATATGGGTTTCCCAGAATTCGGAACCTGGACCCCGCTCGCCGCCGCGAGTTATGGGATACCCATAGGCCGCCAGAAACTACTAGGGAATCTGGCAGCCTATGGATGTACCATAATTCGCGGCGGCGAACGGGTCCAGGTTTCGAATTATGGGGGACACCCACAGGTCGCCAGATTCCCTAGGGGTTTCTGGCGACCTAGGTGCTTCCCATAATTCGCGACGGCGAGCGGGGTCTAGGTCCCGAAGTATGAAAACCCATTGGTCGCCAGATTCCCTAAAGGTTTCTAGCGTCCAATGGGTTTCCCCTCACTCGCGGCGGCGAGCAAGGTCCAGATTCCGAATCATGGGGAACCCATAGGTCGCCAGATTCCCGCAAGATTTCTGGCGACCAGTGGGTTTCCCATACTTCGCGGCGGCGAGCGGGGCCCAGGTTCCGAATTCTGGGAAACCCATCGGACGCCAAACACCCCTAAAGGAATCTGGCGACCTATGGGTTTCACAAAATTCGCGGCGGCGAGCGGGGTCAAACCGGCCAGAAGCTGCCAGCATCTACACGTGGCTTGGGAGCCGTTGTCGGAAGCCGCTCGGGTTGCGCCGGGGCCCGAGGCCAGGAGGGCTGGGAAGCGCGTGGGAGCGCCTGGGAGCGCCTGGGAGCCGCAGTCGTCCATCTATGGGTTTCCCGAGCTTCCGAATTGTAAGACGCCCGATTCGGTCGCCAAATGTTTCTGGCGACCTATAGGTTTCCCAGCATTCGCGGCGGCGAGCGGGGTCCAGGTTCCGAATTATGGGAAACCCATGGGTCGCCAGAAATCCCTAGGGGTTTCTGGCGGCCTATGGGTTCCACAAAATTCGCGGCGGCGAGCGGGGTCCAGGTTCCGAATTCTGGAACGCCCATAGGTCGCCAGATTCCCTAATAGTTTCTGGCGACCAATGTGTTTCCCATAATTCGGCGGGGACAATTCGGGGAACCCCATAGGTCGCCAGATTCCCTAAGGGTTTCTGGCGTCCTATGGGTTCCCCATAATTGCAGGAAGTGTTTTTTTGAGGTCGTGGCGATCGCGTCTGACGCCCTGCGACCTCGGGTTTCCCACAATTCGTCATTGGAACTGATCCAGCTATGGGAGCCCATAGATGGACGGCAACCAGTCGGTGGCGGGTCGGTGGTTTGAACGGGTAGGTGTAAGGTGGGTGGTAGTTGTCGAGTGGATTGGTGGTGGGTGCGTGGTCATTGGGTGGGCTGGTGAACAGGTGGCGGTGGATGGTTGGAGGGTGGATGGATGGTGGGTGATGGGTGGTGGGTAGTGGATGGTTGGTGGGTATGTGCTGGGTGGGGAACGGCTTGGCCGCTGGTTAAGTGGTGGGTAGGCAGGTGGCAGTTGTATCGGTTGTAGGTGGTGGGTGAGTGGGTGGGTGCGCTGGTGGTGAGTGGATCATGAGTATGTGCTGGCTAACTGGGTGGGTGGGTGGTGGCTGGTTTGTGGCGGACGGATGGTGGCTGTTGGGTGATGGGTGCGTGTGTGGATGATAAAGAGGGGGGATGGTGGTTCACAGAGGCGGCGAAATGCCACCACCACAACCACCACCACTAAATACACAGTCGCGCCAGAGGTAAACCACGCCGAGGGTGACAAACGAGCATGACTGGAAGAAGCTTGCCAGCTACTGGGCTCGGGCGGTCACCAAGCGGACCTGAAGCACACGGGACACCTGCCCTGCCGCGCTGCTGTCGCGACGACCTTTCTTGATGAGACCTGCTGCACAACCAGAGAGACATCTCCTGCTGTCTGTACTTCAGCACTGGGATCAGCGACGAGGAGCGATTGCCGCAACGACGGATCTGGCAACCCATCCAACTCGTATGCTGTTCCACATGTTCCTCCACCTGGCTGCCCTTCGCCCTGGCCGATACCCACAATTGATGCTGAACGCCCAGCTGCTGGCAACCGAGTCGCTACACCACCGAGCCACGACGCACCCCTCAGCGCCCCTCAGCCCTGCCGACCTGGTTCGTCGCGAGTGCATGGCACAAAGTCATTGCCTGCACGGTCCATGATTCCACACAGACTCTCTGCGTTCTGCCACTTCCAAACTATCCACCACTTCAGAATCTGCGGATGGAGGGTGCGGCTACAACGATCCCTCAGCGGAGAGTGCAAGGCCGCGGCGTGGCAATGTCAGCGATTCTATCAAATTCAATGAGAAGGCCCACTTAATGGTAGGCCCAAACAGTGAGAGGGACCGCTGCACCGCCAGAGGGACTGTGGATCGAGGGATGGGGTGATGGCGCTGAGGTTTGAGCAAGCTCTGACCCACCTCATGCCCTGAGCCCTCTGCCCCACTGTACGACCGACAGACACCAGAGGCTCTGCGGTACGAGACGGAGGATGATTGGAGGGAGGTGGAGATGCAGTAGCCACATCTAAGGAGACCTCCGTCTGCCAGCATATGCCCCACGGGAGTGTCTTATGATAACGTCCGAGGACTCCAGGGGCCCACAGAAGCTCTGGGGCACCTTCATCGGGGCCCTCGGATATCGAGGTAGAAGGGGCCCCAGGACTTCTCATAGCAGCAGAGGAGGAGAAGGAGGACAAGGAGGAGGAGGAGGAGGAGGAGGAGGAAGAGGAGGAGGAGAAGAATATGGAGATGGGGAAAACGGGCTGGATGAGCCGGGCACCCCGCGCGCCGGCCTAGCAGCAAGGACACGCACGACAGTACCAGCAGGAGCATGGAGAACGCAACCCGCATCCAGCGGCGGTAGAAGCCTTCGCTCGGAGGGAGGAGGAGGAGGAGGAGGAGGAGAAGGAGGAGGAGAAGGAGGAGGAGAAGGAGGAGGAGAAGGAGGAGGAAGGGGAGGAGGAGGAGTCAGAAGCCGTGGGGGTTGAGATCATGACGGGCAGCGATCGGAGGGGACTGGCTCAGAAGGGGGGAAACATCGAACTGGAGTCGGCGATACATCGCCGGTAGGTCGACGATAGGCTTCAGACAGCGAGTCCGCACGTTCTTGGGCAGAGTGTGCCTATCGGCACCTATCCGCGATGAAAGGGCAATGGGGAGCGATGCATTCCCGCCTGAGCCCATCGCCCCTATCGTTGCCCCTGGCATGCGTCGACGATCACTCTCCAGCGTGCAACAGCATGTCAGTAATATCTGATTGGGCTTCACGATCACGTTGGCGCAGTTGCATCACTGATATGATGAGAGTGGTAAGTGGCGACATTGTCTTGATCTAAACGCCTTTGCACAAAGACGCCAAACGAGGACCCCAAGAGGACCCCGAAGAGGGCCTCAAGGGGCAAACATCCTTCGTTTACAACTGTTGTTTGCGAGATGTGTACGTTCTCGCGTTTTCGGGCGTCTGTGGGCCCAAAACGGCCCGAGATGCCCCCGAGACTGCCCCATAAGGCGGGAAAGCATGTCATGGAGCCGATTCGGAGCACGACGTCGTCTGAAGATTCGTGCTGTGATGCTTTGATCACTCGCCACGCAAGTCCCCTGGAGAAGCACAGGTTCGACGAATACCCAGTGGAGAACACGTCGCGATCGCCTAGGGCGGCATTGCCCCCATAGCTAACAACATTAACCCAATGGTGTGACCATCGGTGTTGGTGGCATTGCGCCTGCATTGTTGAGTGGTGGCTGTCTTGCCTTGGCGGAAAGTACTGTCGCACGAGCCTGTGGCCGACCGACGGGCGGCAGGAGGGCACCCCGAAGAGTGACCAGCGGAGGGCGTGCTCGCAACATCTGCATGGTATACGGTTGACGCTGACACTATCGTGCTGCGAGTGGTGCGAGTAGAAGCGGAGTCTCGCGCCCCAACCTGGAACATGAATCCCTCCCCCTGCGCCATCCTAGCGTCATGCGCTGTCAATCGCTCCCGCTGTTGTGAGCCCGCAACCTTCTTTCTCGACAGCGCACGCGCTCCCACTCAGTCCACGAATCGTCGTGCGAAGCGCAAGCGCTGTTCCTCCGTGCGCGCGCTGATGATACCTGGTATGTTGTGCGGGTCTGTGCTGATAACGCGCAAACTCTGCAATGCGCAACTTTTACAAACTCAACCGCTAGCATGTGCAAATTCGCCCAAACTAGCGTTCATGACACTGCCGCGCCGACCCCCCTAGCAAATGAAATTCAACTTCAGCATCTAAGATGCAAGGCATATCGCATTTGCTATATGCACTAGCGCCCCATGCTGTAGGATTACGAATCAATGTTTGTAGCTTTAGATCTGGATGAAATCCAACTGGGCCACATAAGCTTCACCAGCCTCATGCCTGTACATCAGCACGGAAGCGCTGCCCCGGCAAGGCTGCCAAAGAAACACAACACCCTGGCAGCGCTGCCGACATATGTTGCCCCGCAATTGCGCTGCTGGGGCGGTGAGCCCCTGAACGCGAAGAAACATTTCACGCCGCCCTAGAGCGCCGAGGTAACGCGTCCAGTGACTCACCTCTGCGGTTTTTCCCGAAGCAACGAAAGCTGCAAGAAATTCAACCTGCAAAACCAGACAAACTCGGGGGAAACGGTCTGCAACACATAACCGCGTCATTTTGCCGTGCCGCGCCGTGCCGTCGTGCCGTACCCTGTCGTGCCCGGCTTCCAGAGCGCAGAAAAAAAACGGCCATGCCATGCCATGGCGCGCCACTTTTCCTCCAGCTCAACGATCGTTACTCAACAATTTGAATGTAGTTGACAACGGAATGGAAGCCCGAATGTATTTGACAACCGAATTGGAGCTCGCCGAGAGCAGTAAAAAACGTCGCATATGCCAGAAAGCGGCAAGTAGCCGTAAGCAGCGTATGGACAATTGTAAGCGCGGGGTGCCTTAGCGCGTGTGCAACTCACACCCTAGCGAACATGAGTGACAGCCAGCCTCTAAAATCCATCATGGATATAAGAGTTGCCAGTGGCGAGCACGCACTCCCCAAAGGCTTCCCACGCAAGCACGTCGTGGGATTCACCGCTCTACGTGTCAGTTTCGCAAGGCCTGCGGACACGGACGGCGCAATAGCACGGTAAGGCAAACCCCGTGCCATTATCACGCCGGTTATGTTCCCGGACGGCTCTCTGAGAGCTAAAAGCGCGTCAGATTAGAAGCCGGCAGCGCTGGGTAGGCCAGCCCCTTTCCAAAACTCCTGGTGAAGCATCCCAAGAGCGGATTGCTTGAGCCCACAGCGTGACCCCAGAAGCGTTTTCCCACTCGTTCCCAATACGCGTGCCTGAAGCCTTTTCCGCAGGCCCTTCGCAGCTCCCTCGAAGCTCCTGCGAAACTCCCTTCTCGAGCTTACAACCTCCTCAAGCATGCTTTCCAGCGCCCTGGCAAGCGTCTCGCAGAGGCTTTCTCTCGAAACGCAAATTTTCCAGACATGCTTTCCAGAGTCCTCGCAAGCGTCTTCTACTAGCGAATCACATGCTATAGACCGCATCGCTATCAGGGCTCCGACGTCACAAGTCCACTGCGTACATACTGGAGGCTTACAATCGTTATCCCCAGCATTCGCGGATAAAAGGGGGAGGGGCGGGGAGAAGGGTCACCGGCAACGGGGAGGCACGGGTACAAATCAGGAACAAACCGAAGACCCGCCGACCCCTGAAGGCATGTGATATCAAACTGTGCACTTAAGACGTGTGCGGACGAACGTGGCGACGACCGTGTGCACAAACCTCTGCCTCCTGGAGCTCTCGGGAACTGTATCCTCGGAACCCCAGAAGATGCAAGCTCTCCCCGAAATGGGACCCCCCCGCCTGGCAATTCTGCCGCCCCGCCGCCCTGCCCGCCGTCGACCTCGCCCGGGCATCCCCACCCCCTGGTCGCTCCTTTTTTAGGACCCCCCCTTGGCAATTTCCCTGCCCCGCCACCCTCCCCGCCGTCGGCCTCGCCCCAGCATCCACACTGGGGCGCGACGCGACGGCGACGGACGCGGCGCTAACGCGTGACGCTATGCGACCTACCATTCACAATATAACAAAACAGTCTTAACAAAAAAAACGCCGGAACCCAGACAACCCCTCCAAGATGGTAGCGATAAGCCTGCCAGCATGAAATTGCGGCAACCGCTCGGGCGGGAGCACCGTTCCCAATCAGGGATGTCGCTGGCGCTCGGGTAGGAGAACTGTTCCCAACCACGGATGTGGCCAGCACTCGAGCGGCGGCACCGTCCCCAACCAAGGCTGCGGCCAGCGATCGGACGGGAGCACTGTTCCCAATCAGGGATGTGGCCGGCGCGCACGCGACAGCACCAATCCCAGGCGAAAGCACCATTCCCAAACAGGGATGTGGCCCGCGCTCGAACTGCAGCACCACACTCAGGCAGGCACGTGACCAGGGCTGAGGCAAGACGAGCAGGCCCAGTCCAGGATGTGGCCAGCGCTTGGACAGGAATACCGTTCCCAATCAGGGATGCGGCCAGCGCTCGAGCGGCAGCACTATCCCCCATCAGGGGTGTGGCTGGCGCTCGTACCACACCCAATCAAGGCTGTGGCTGGCGCTCTGGCGAGAGAGTGCCATCCCAGAAAGGGGCGTGGCCGGCGCGCAGGCGACAGCACCATTCCTTCGACAGAACTGTTGCCAGCGCTCAGGCGACAGCGCACCACTCCCGATCAGGGATGTGGCCAGCGCTCAAGCGAGAGCAACATTCCGACACAGGAGCATGGCTGGACTTCCAAGTGTAGGCCGCGCTGGCTGTTTTCCTCCTCCTGCCGATCCTCCTTCTAGTCCTTCTCCCCCATAACTCCTCCCAGACCTCACCAGTCTTACCCCGTACTCCTCCTTCTCCTCCTCCTCCTCCTCCTACTCCTCCTCCTTCTCCCCTCCTTTTGCCTCCTTGTCTCCTCTGTCCGCTTCTCCTGCGCCCTCCTCCCCCTCCCTTCCTCCTCCTCCTCATTCTCTTTCTACCCTCCCTTTGCCTCCTTGTCTCCTCTGCCTGCTTCCCCTGCGCCCCCCTCCCCCTCCCCCTCCTCCTCCCCCTCCTTCTCCTCCTCCTCCTCCTCCTCCTCCTCGTGCTCCCCCCCCCTCCTCCTCCTCCTCCTCCTCCTCCTCCTCCTCCTCCTCCTCCTCCTCCTCCTCCTCCTCGAAAGAGCGTCGACTCGGTTTGGGAACTGCGCGCGGCAGCCAAACTCTGAAAGTATGGGGGAGGGGGTGGGAAGGAACGACGGGGCGGAAGGGGGGAGACGGAAGGAGTGGAGGGCGCGGAGGGGGGAGAGGGGCTTTTTTCCTTCCAGTCGCGCGGGCGCGGGTCAGATTACTCGCGTCCATAAACGCCCGTCGACGCGACAAACGCCAGCCGATTGGGCCGCGATGCACAGAGAGCGCGTTAGAATATTGCCCGCGCAGAGCAGGCGCGGAGGTAGAGGTATGGATGCGTGGGGGAACGGCGGCATGGGTAAGAAGATAATACGGAGGAGTGGAAGCCTAAAACTCTGAACGCGCACAGGTGCACGCAGCTACGCACGCGCGCGGGCGTGGATGAAGGGCCGCATGGATGGGTGGAGTCTGAGCGTGGGACTATGGACATGTGGATGTATGGTGTTACATGATCAAGGACATCTGGGGGGCATGAAATTATATATACACGCTAGAACCATCGCGCGCGCTTCGCGCGCGCTTTGGTTCTAGCCGAGATGGAGGCAAGGCCCTGGCAGAAATGTCAAGGCAGGCCTTTTCTGATGTGTATATATAGAGATATATACACATACATCTGTCCATCCTTCTCCTCCTCCTCCTTCTCCTCCTCCTTCTTCTCCTCTTCCTCCTCTTTCGTCCTCT